ATCTCTGGATACCAAGCTTCATAACAATCTATACATTTTTGTGGAAATCGTCCGCCATATTGGATCCGGCATTTTGATTTTTTTAAATTAAATTTCAATTTCGAAATCAGTGATGACGAAAAGCTCTGGATACCAAGCTTCATAATAATCTATAAATTTTTTAATAAATCGTCTGCCATATTGGATCCGCCATTTTGAAATCTGGAAATTGTATTTAATATTCGAATTCAGTGACGACGAAAATCCCTAATTACCAAATTTCATTGAAATCTGTCAAATACATATGGAGTAAACACCAAGCTTCATAAAAATTTACACATTTTTGAAGAAATCGTCTGCCATATTGGATCCGCCATTTTGATTTTTGAAAATTGAATATCAATTTCGAAATCAGTGACGACGAAAATCTCTGGACACCAAGCTTCATAAAAATATAGACATTTTTTAAGAAATCGTCCGCCATATTGGATCCCCCATTGTGAATTTTGGAAATTTAATTTAATATTCGAAATCAGTGATGATGAAAATCCCTTAATACCAAATTTCGTTGAAATCTGTCAAATACATATGGAGTAAACATTTTTGTCGTCCTATATTGTCGATTCGTCCCTATTTGCGTCGCCGCGAGTGCCTGCCTGCCATCGTCAATAAATCTAAGTTTTGCCAGACCGTAAATTATAATTGTACTGTACCAAAATATTTAATAAACTCAATGAAGTTAAATTTAATAAACACTAAAACACTCGGTATCCTACACAAATGCTATTTTAAACTTACCCTAATTTGGATTAGGAAATCTCTCAAATGCTCTTTAAATGCTTGAACATTTTCGTCCAGATTGAAAAGACCAGTGACAAAGACCTTAATCTGGTTATCCGTTAAGTGATTGAAAGCGGACTTCAGCAAAGAGGCCACATACTCTTGTATGAAAATGGTATTGTCCGGTATTGGGCCGAGACTCACTGTTATTTTATTGTTCTCTACCAACGAGAACATGTACGCCAATATTGTGGCATGGTTGGCGAGGCCAGCTGTGTGCGAAGTATCAGTGACAACGGAGAAAATCTGCATTAAAATATCAGTGAAATATGTCTGATAGAAGCTTTGCGCTGCCTGTGGGTGTTGTTCTAAGTTTTGCAACATCTGCAAAGAGTTAAATAAAAATATATCCGTTTTTCCAACTGTTGTTGAGTTGTAAAGCCTACTTTATATAATATGTTCAATCCCATATCAGCAACATTGCGCATTGTGTGCTTAAAGGCCCAAACAACCGAATCGAATACGAGCCTAAATTGTGCCGGTGGAATATTGAGAAATGCTTTAAAGCAATGCGCATTGACAGCTTGTAGAAGCTCATAAAAGCTGGTGCGGTGCTGCGGATAATCTTCGAAATTCTTATTAATCATATCGAGTGTGCACTCAAAGACGGCGTCAAAAATTTTTGGTACTTCGTTCGTGATGTGATTACGTAGTTTGTGCACAATTATGGCCATTGAGCTGAGCACTTTGGGTTCCCTAGCAGACGGCACTTTACAACGCTGGAAAAATAGCATTAGTTATGCATTAGAATAATATGAAAACTTTGCGAACTTAATTGTACCTGGTAATCTAACAAAACCGCATCGAGTAGTGGAGGAATAAAGTTATCCATCACTAATTGATTGTCATTAGAGCGCGATACCCATTCCGAAATTAGATTTAAAGTTTCTTTTTTAACGACGTTCATTGCTTTTATAAGAGGTTGGTTATTTACAACAACACCATTAACCTCAATCGCTTGAATGATGTTCTCAGACGTAATTTTATAAACGTTTAGCATATCCAAGTATATGCGTCCCAACTGAATCACGTAGGCATGACCCAATGCCTTGCATGCAGCTACATTTGTCTTCAAAATGCTACCCAGCTGCTTAACAGCTGTCATATTTTTAAGAAAGTCTACGTTCTTCGAGGCACGAGAAATAATATCATCCCAAACCTGATTTGGCAAGAACATATATTTCTCAATTAAGGCGTCCTGTTGCACCTGATCAACCTGTGCTGATATCATATAGCCAACTGCTTCATAGAACGTATGTACCTGATAAGGCAAATAATAAAAATTAGATAATTGAGAAAACATTCAGGAATTGACAACGCTACTTGCCTGCTGCGGCTGTAAGTCACAAATTATGCTACTCATAGTGCTCAGTATTTCATCGATGAAGGTACACGCCTCATTCGGCTGTATGGTCACAAAGTAGCGTCTACATTTGATGGCAATTTTTATAAATGTATCGCACGCCATATCCTGTACGCCATCGTGAGTTTCATGCATAAATTCGAATAGTTTATTCACCACCGTTTTAAGGAATTTCCAATGTGCGCGCAAGAAACGGGGATATTGCCCAACAACGTACATTATATTCGAGGCGATTATAGCCTTATTATCCTTGCCTTTCTTTTGTTCGCACAAACCGAGTAGGTCCTTAATAACTGTCACAAGGAAACGCTTTTCGTCTTCTTCGCAGAAAGCACCTGCAAACATACAGAAATGGTTTGAATACAGTAATTCAAAATATGCAGAGGAATAAATATTAGTGTGCAACCGAGTAATCGGCATATAAAAGGAATCGATATTCAAATTTTGGGATTTCGCACACACACAACCACCACTGATTTGAGGGCATGATAATATTTTTATATAAATAACAAGATTTAATTATTTTGCTTATTTCACATCAGGATAAAACGGTGTTCACATGAGGCGATTTTCCAGGCAATTTTAGAGGCGATTAGCTGAATCAAAAGTTGGCTGCACCCCAACTTCATTGGAAGCGATTAAGCGATAAAGCGAAAAGTTGCCTGTAAAATCGCCCCATGTAAACCAGAAAAACGCAGCGAGTATGATCAAACTGAGTATATCCCACTCAACATCCATAATTTGTTCTACTTATATGCACTCATACTTATTGAAATGCCCTCGAACGTCATATCCACCCTCAATCAAGGGGTGTCTATCATACTTAACCCTCGTATCTTTTTTCGGACAAAGAACAGTATATTACTGTGCAATAATCCCGTTTCGCAGTATCTCCCTTTAAAAATAAAAACATTATTTACAGTACCTTACAGGAGCAGTTTTCTGATAAAATAAAGGAATTCCTGGTATGGTAGACATAATACCAGGGGCCTGTACCACAAAGTTTACAATTGTAACAAGTCTACAAGTTATTTGTGATTCGCTTCTAGCAGCTACGAGTTCTATAATTTTTTGTAACATAATAATGCACTTGTAGCTATCAGCGTAATATTCCACATTTGTAAATGTAGTTTCTACAAGCATTTGTAGATGCATTTCGATTTCCACTTTAATATACCAATTTTGAATAGCCTTGATTTAGTTATTTACAAGCTAGAGCTCTTTTAAAAAATCGACTATCCGGCTACTCGCTTAGTCGACTAGTCGATTAGCAACTTTTTTGTCGGTTGATAGTCGAATAGAAATTATTCGATTAACCGCTCGCATTCGACTAACCGTTCACTTTCGTCTAACCGCTCACCGTAGTCTGAAAATCGACTAAAACCATAAACAGAGGGCAGCGTTGATCCGGATCAACTCGGGAATTAACAGCAGTTGATCCGGATTAAGTCCGAGTTAATACGGATCAAGCTTTAACCGAAATTATTCAATAGTGACAGTTTCTCACCATAAAATTATTTGTATTAGCGCGGTGGGGTTTTTGTCAATAAGCATAAGTATTCAAAAAATAAAAAAAAAATTTACTCAAAGAAAACAACTACACCTTTTTCAGTTTTAGTCCAGAATGTTGCAATTTAAATTCAGAAAGTTACAATTCAAGTTCAGAATTTCCATTTCAAATTCAGAATTTTCATTTCAAGTTCAGAAAGTTACAATTCAAATACAGAATTTCCATTTTAAATTCAGAAAGCTGCAATTCAAATTCAGAATTTCCATTTTAAGTTCAGAAAGTTGCAATTCGAATTCAGAAAATTACATTTCAAATTCAGAATTTCCATTTCAAATTCAGAGTTACAATTCATATTCAGAAAATTTCCATTTCAAATTCAGAAATTTACAATTTAAGTTCAGACAATTTCAAATTAAGTTCAGAAAACTTTTTATACCTTGCATTCAATGGAAATATACATATGTGTATATTATTTTTGTGCAAGTCTTTACCTCTATGTATGTAATTATTTATTTTCATTTAAGGGAAAGAGTAACAATTCAATCATTGCAGTACATACTTAGCATGAAATGAAAAGCAATGTTGTGTTGATCGAGCACAATCTCCACCTGATATGGCTACCTTGGCATGATCAATCTTTTTTTCCAAGTACTGCAGCCTCTGATCCGTTAATCCTGGACACTCAACATTGGGAACATCCATACTTTGTTTGACAAGCTGCATTTAGCATAAGCGAATATGGTCCCAAACGAAGATACAACTTAAAATTTCAAATCGTATAGTGAATATGAAATTTTCTGAACTTAAATAGGAAATTTCTGAATTTGAAATGAAAATTTTCTGGACTTGAATTGTGACTTTCTGAATTTGACTTGAAAATTTCTGAATTTGAAAAGAAGGTTTCTGAATTTGAAAAGGAAATTCTGAGTTTGAAATGTAACTTTCTGAATTTGAATTGCAACTTTCTGTATTTGAAATGTAAATTCTGAATTCGAATTGCAACTTTCTGAATTTAAAATGGAAATTCTGAATTTGAACTTCAACTTTCTGAATTTGAAATGGAAATTCTGAACTTGAATTGTAACTATCTGAATTTAAAATGGAATTTCTGAATATGAATTGCAACTTTCTGAACTAAAACTGAAAAAGGTGTAGTCGATAAATCGAAAATGAACGAATTTTCGAATATGCAGTTGTTTGTGAGCGGTTAGTTGAAAAAGTCGAAAAGAAGCAGTTAGTCGATTAAGTGAAGTAGATTATTTTTCGAAACAACTTTTGCTATTCGACTAATCGATTAACAAGTAGGGACACGATATCGAACCGAAAGTATCGATATAGCACTAATTTAAAGTATCGCTGTAAAAATATCGGCTACCCATTATTATCGGGATAAAAAGACCCGATATTCCCAATATCAATACCAAATTCAAAAATTAAAACTGAATATTGGACTCTGTAAAGCCCAAAATATAACCATATTGCTTTACATATCAATTTCAAAGAATAGACATATGGGCTTTTCCAGCAGTAAGTCATAGGATGACATAGATTTGCAACAAATGGAACCGCTAGGGTGCGCTTAAGTAAAAATAAAAAATATATTCGGCACAAAATTCATATTAATTTAAAAACAATATTAACAAAAAAGTTTCGTTGGAGATTTTAGTGGCATAATGTCTTGTAACATGACGTCAGATACATTAACTTTGTAAAAAGTATCGGTATCGAATAGAAAAAATATCGATATTGTATCCCTATTAACAAGAGCTCTATTACGAGCATTTGTTTTCGGCGGACGTATAGCACTTGCCGTGAAAAATAAAACATATATTATTAATTAAATATAGCTGCAAATCAAATAATGTTGAAAAAAGTTGCATTATTTACAAAAAGTTAAGGAAAATAAAGAAATTCTAAGAAACCGTAGCATCGAATTGTTTTATTCACGATTACTGGGCCTATATCTTCAAGATTCAGTCTGAACCTTTCCACATATTCTGCGTCTCTCAGGAAGAAAGTATTCATTCTCTCTCGATACCGATACAGTGTAGGAACGTTTTCGTCTTTACTTTCGGAATCACTTGATCACATATCGACAGCAAAATGGTATGCTAACGGCAAAATACTTCACTAAACTGAATCAACTCAGCGTTCGACATAGGTAGAAAATTCTTTACAATTGTAGAAAAACCCGTAACACAACCGTACAAGTGTGTTCGTTGTGTTACGGAAATAAACAATTGTACAAAAAGTTCAGTAATTACAAGTACGGCACTTGTAACTAAAAGTTGCTTTGTGTTACAAAATATCTACACTTGTTTAATTTATTTAAACACTTGTAGGACTTGTAGCGCTTGTGTTACAGGCCTCAGGTATTCCTATATTGTACACCCCCGAGACAAAATGAGATGTCTAACAAAAGCTATGTAAATCCAAATCTCTCACTTTGTACAAAAATTAGAAAAATCCAAAAAAGTTGAACAACAACAATATTCTAGTTTGAAGTGAAAAATCAACGCGAATTCTTAGCCTATTGAAGCTTGCGCCTTAATAAGCTAAAAAACTACAAACTAGGTATTTTTCTAAAAATTATCCAGACAAAGTTTGTTTTAGAATTTTTTTTAATAATAATCAAATTAGGTTTGCACCGCAACCTAGTGATCTATTTTGCCCTTTATACAGCGTGGCGACGAATAGCGGTTACCCAGTCTTTTTTTTTGAGAAATAAAAGGGTCCTTTATAGATTTTGCGAAAAAAGTATTCTAGTGTTAATTTTCCACAGATTTTACTTTAGATGTATTAATTAGTTTTTAAATTTTAATCCTTATTTACATTTGCCAGCAGTGTAAACTTTGAGAGAAAAGTTCATTTAATTTATTCCATATCTTCTGTAACCATAGGAAAACTTTGTCCATTTTGAGCCCCTTCTGTCCAACATAAGGCCTCATACTCAAAAATCGAATAGACTCGGAACTGGTGACTAGGACGGCCATTCATTCGACCAACCCTATATAGTTTTTCTTTTTTTTGTAATTTTTTATACAAAGCCGAAGGAAAAATACACCTGAAAAAGACTTGCGTGCCAAATGAACTTTTCTTTCAAAGTTTACACTGCAGGCAAATGTAAATAAGGATTTAAATTTAAAAACTAATTAATACAACTAAAGTAAAATCTGTCGAAATTAACAATAAAATACTTTTTTTTCGCAAAATCTATAAAGGACCCTTTTATTTCTTAAAAAAATAGACTACATTTGTACAAAAAGTTCAGTAATTACAAGTACGGCACTTGTAACTACAAGTTTCTTTGTGTTACAAAATATCTACACTTGTTTAATTTATTTGAACATCTCACATTAGGTCAAATGATTAATTTGGCTGTGCGAAAGTCCAATTTCGTAAACGCAATTTTACTTAATTTTTTGTTGTCATTCTGTAGGGAATACTCCAAAGTAACAAAAACTTTATTTTGTTTTTGTAAAAAAAAAACTCCGTTAGACAGCAATCAAACAAAGTTACACTTGTAAAACGTTATTGACACGTTGTTTGCGCAACAGCTTTATTTCTCAATTTTCAAGTGCATTTTTTTTATAAAAGGCGAATAATTAAAGCAACATTTGAAATGGAAGACAACAATACAAGTGAGTACCTATATCCCAATCAAAAAAAAAGTAACTTTTTATCGTTCCTTTGCAAAAAAAAAAAATGATTTCCTTGCATAACCTCAAAAATTTTGTGAATAATTTCTATTTGTGATTTCATGTAAGCTTTTACAATTTTGTTAACTTTCGGCAAACAATAATTAAAAAGAAATGGATAAATTAAGATGTAGAGAGTTGATTTTATTTTACTTAAGCCGCCGTTTTTAGCCGTTTTCAAGAAAAACTGGTTTTTCTAGGTTATCATGCTATTACAAAAGGCGGGTTGTTTGAAGTTTGGCTGCTTGGATGTTCCAAAAAAGAAAAGATTTCTTCGGTGGTCAACTATGTTGCAAAAAAAATTGGTGCTGATGATATATGTGAAAATTCCATGAAAGTCGTAGAAGAAAAAACGCGGCTTTTTTGCAATTATTTATCAAACAAATACGAAAAATATGGAAACAATTTGGAAAGGATGCTAAAAGATTTAGATCAGAAAATATCGCTTTTCTTGCAGATGAGGTTATTTTCGAATTGAAAAAGCCAGCTGTTCTGACCAGTTCTATGGTTGGTCGCCCAAGAGCTCAATTTTGCAACAAAAGTGAGTTTGGAAAAAGAAAAGAAGCAGCAGAACTATCAAAATCAACAAATTATGAAACGGAGTTACTAGCACGTGCAGCAGCAACTTCGGCTCGAAAAAAAGGAAACTTTGACATGGCTGTAGTTTTAAAAGAAAGCTTAGCAAGCCCAACCAGACCCTCAAAAATGAGAAAGGTATGTGCTGAGAGCAGTAATAAACAAATTTCCTTTTCGGCAGAGGAGGCATTAGCTTTTCTCTTGGAAAATAACTTTACAAAGGAGCAGTACAATGCAATACGTCGCGAAAGTAAACTAAGAAACTGCGATATTTATCCACATTATAACGAAATTGCAGCCGCCAAATTAAAATGTCGACCCAATGACGTAGAGGTAAGCGAAACCATGGTAAGAGCTCCTCTAAAATCGGT